CTATATGAAGTGAACACGGAGACTATATATATGAAGTGAACACAGAGATTATATATGAAGTGAACACAGAGACTATATATGAAGTGAACACAGAGACTATATATGAAGTGAACACGGAGACTATATATGAAGTGAACACGGAGGCTATATATATGAAGTGAACACGGAGACTATATCTGAAGTGAACACAGAGACTATATATGAAGTGAACACAGATACTATATATGAAGTGAACACAGAGACTATAGATGAAGTGAACACGGAGACTATAGATGAAGTGAACACGGAGACTATAGATGAAGTGAACACAGAGACTATAGATGAAGTGAACACAGAGACTATATATGAAGTGAACACAGAGACTATATATGAAGTGAACACAGAGACTATATATGAAGTGAACACAGAGACTATATATGAAGTGAACACAGAGACTATATATGAAGTGAACTTGGAGACTATATATGAAGTGAACACGGAGACTATATGAAGTGAACACGGAGACTATATATATGAAGTGAACATGGAGACTATATCTGAAGTGAACACAGAGACTATATATGAAGTGAACACAGAGAATATAGATGAAGTGAACACAGAGACTATAGATGAAGTGAACACAGAGACTATATATGAAGTGAAAACAGAGACTATATATGAAGTGAACACAGAGACTATATATGAAGTGAACACAGAGACTATATATTAAGTGAACACGGAGACTATATATGAAGTGAACACAGAGAGAGAGAGAGAGAGAATAAAGACAGTGAACACAGACTATATATGAAGTGAACACACAAAGAGAGAGAATAAAGACAGTGAACACAGAGACTATATATGAAGTGAACACGGAGACTATATATGAAGTGAACACAGAGACTATATATGAAGTGAACACAGAGACTATATATGAAGTGAACACGGAGACTATATATGAAGTGAACACACAGAGAGAGAGAATAAAGACAGTCAACACAGAGACTATATATGAAGTGAACACACAGAGAGAGAGAATAAAGACAGTGAACACAGAGACTATATATGAAGTGAACACGGAGACTATATATGAAGTGAACACACAGAGAGAGAGAATAAAGACAGTGAACACAGAGACTATATATGAAGTGAACACACAGAGAGAGAGAATAAAGACAGTGAACACAGAGACTATATATGAAGTGAACACACAGAGAGAGAGAGAGAGAATTAAGACAGTGAACAAGGATGTCTGAAACATCCAGTAGATAAATAACCATCAAAATAAGCACTGACTGCTGACACTGAGTTCAAAAGGTCAACTGGGGGCAGAGGTCACCTGACAATGCATTAGTAGCTTACAGTTTCAAAACAGTCTTTGCAGGTAAGAAATGAAAACATGAATATGCAAGCAGGCACCTCGAAAACAACAACAATAAAAACTTTTTTTTTAAAGAAAATATAAACAATCTGTGAGATATAGAGAATAAAGCAAAATCTGAGACTTCAATTTGTGAGGCGATGTGAAGCGCGTCAAGACACAACATGTGGATAAAACAGCTGAGCAGGGTTGGGTGGTACAAGCAAAAGAGACATAAATAAAGGTAAAAAGAACAATATTGGTACAACAATCATAGTTTCAAGCTATGGACACACGTTAAGTATATCTCAAATACAACAATCATAGTTTCAAGCTATGGACACACGTTAAGTATATCTAAAATACAACAATGTATTTCTTGGACTTAACAATGGACATCGTGGAGACAATAATTTATATCTTAGATACACAAATGTATATGTTGGACAACAATAAACTTACCAAAATACTTGAGTGAAATTAGGGTACAAGAGAGAAAACAGAATGACAAATACACACATATAATTTAAAGGAGTATGCACAAACAGATATGGCCAAAAAGAATGACTCTAGGACAGGAACATGCACAAACAGATATGGCCCAAGAATGACTCTAGGACATATACATGCACAAACACATATGGCCAAAAATAATGACTCTAGGACAGGAACATGCACAAACACATATGGCCAAAAATAATGACTCTAGGACAGAAACAAGCACAAACAGATATGGCCAAAAGAATGACTCTGGGACAGAATTAAGCACAAACAGATATGGCCAAAAGAATGACTCTAGGACAGAAACATGCACAAACAGATATGGCCAAAAGAATGACTCTGGGACATGAACACGCACAAACAGATATGGCCAAAAGAGTGACTCCAGGACATGAACATGCACAAACATATATGGCCAAAAGAGTGACTCTGGAACACGAACATGCACAAACACATATGTCCAAAGAGTGACTTTGGGATTGCTGTGAAAAGATAAATGTATCCATAAAATATGGAAAAACTCCTAATAATCAAGTAGGTGTTTTCAGCATACTTCAATCTAATTTTAATTAGCACACTACATGGTGTTCTCCACCAGCACACTACATGATGTTCTACATCAGCACACTACATGATGTTCTACACCAGCACACTACATGATGTTCTACATCAGCACACTACATGGTGTTCTACATCAGCACACTACATGGTGTTCTACACCAGCACACTACATGATGTTCTACACCAGCACACTACATGATATTCTACACCAGCACACTACATGGTGTTCTACATCAGCACACTACATGATATTCTACACCAGCACACTACATGGTGTTCTACACCAGCACACTACATGGTGTTCTACATCAGCACACTACATGGTGTTCTCCATTAGCACACTACATGATGTTCTACACCAGCACACTACATGGTGTTCTACATCAGCACACTACATGGTGTTTAAATCAGCACACTACATGGTGTTCTCCATTAGCACACTACATGGTGTTCTACACCAGCACACTACATGGTGTTCTCCATTAGCACACTACATGGTGTTCTACACCAGCACACTACATGGTGTTCTCCATTAGCACACTACATGGTGTTCTACACCAGCACACTACATGATATTCTACACCAGCACACTACATGGTGTTCTACACCAGCACACTACATGGTGTTCTACATCAGCACACTACATGGTGTTCTCCATCAGCACACTACATGGTGTTCTACATCAGCACACTACATGATATTCTACACCAGCACACTACATGGTGTTCTACACCAGCACACTACATGATATTCTACACCAGCACACTACATGGTGTTCTACATCAGCACACTACATGGTGTTCTACACCAGCACACTACATGATGTTCTACATCAGCACACTACATGGTGTTCTACACCAGCACACTACATGGTGTTCTACACCAGCACACTACATGGTGTTCTACACCAGCACACTACATGGTGTTCTACATCAGCACACTACATGGTGTTCTACACCAGCACACTACATGGTGTTCTACACCAGCACACTACATGATGTTCTACACCAGCACACTACATGGTGTTCTACACCAGCACACTACATGGTGTTCTACACCAGCACACTACATGATGTTCTACACCAGCACACTACATGGTGTTCTACACCAGCACACTACATGGTGTTCTACACCAGCACACTACATGGTGTTCTACATCAGCACACTACATGATGTTCTACACCAGCACACTACATGGTGTTCTACACCAGCACACTACATGATATTCTACACCAGCACACTACATGGTGTTCTACATCAGCACACTACATGGTGTTCTACACCAGCACACTACATGATATTCTACACCAGCACACTACATGATGTTCTACACCAGCACACTACATGATGTTCTACACCAGCACACTACATGGTGTTTAAATCAGCACAGTACATGCTGTACAACATCAACATACATAGGATAACATACAAATAGTACATATTATGAATGCTATACCATTATGATATTCTGTCACACATACACCATGCTGTTCTACTTTAGTATATTTTATTGTGATCTACCTCATATAATCATCAGCCACTTTATGGTGTTTTTTACTCTCACAAACTAATAATGTCTCTATTCACACATTATCTGCTCTTCACATACAACCAATTCATCATCGTCATAATAAGCCAGATACAATCAGTGGACATATTGCATGAGTACACTGTGTATGCACAGACAAAAGGATGGGGCCAGTGAAGAGGAAGTTCTGTCTCTGTAAGAAGGTGGGGGGGGGGGGGGGCACATGTCTGAGGTCACTGAAGGTCAGAATGTGTCTACTATCTCATGTTTGTTAACTGATGTTGTACTAGAAGTCAGAATGTGGCTGGTGCTATCTCATGTTTGTAACTGATGTTGATAGACTGTTTTTTGGTACTATCTCTGGTTTTTAACTGATGTTGATAGACTGTTTTTGGTACTTTCTCTGGTTTTTAAATGATGTTGATAGACTGTTTTTTAGTACTATCTCTGGTTTTTAACTGATGTTGATAGACTGTTTTTGGTACTTTCTCTGGTTTTTAAATGATGTTGATAGACTGTTTTTGGTACTATCTCTGCTTTGTAACTGATGTTGATAGACTGTTTTTGGTACTATCTCTGGTTTGTAACTGATGTTGATAGAATGTTTTTTGGTACTATCTCTGGTTTGTAACTGATGTTGATAGAATGTTTTTGGTACTCTCTCTGGTTTGTAACTGATGTTGATAGACTGTTTTTGGTACTATCTCTGGTTTGTAACTGATGTTGATAGACTGTATCTGGTACTATCACTGGTTTGTAATTGATGTTGATAGACTGTCAACAGATGGTTCCCATCTGCTGTCACATCACATGTCACACATCGCACCAACATGTCACATAAATCTCATGACATAAAAGAAATATGTTACATATCACAGGCAACACGCCGTATACATCCTTGGCTTCATGACCTACTTCTGACATCATCTGGTGTTGCAGTTTTACCCCCTAAGTTTAGGAGATCTGAACTTGCTAATCTCACGCTTGTACCACAGAGCAGCCCTCAACTGCCATCAGGCAGGACTCAACAACGCTGTTTATCCTGACAGCCCTTCACACCTGGAGGCAGCACTAGCAGGCACATCCATGGCCACTGTTCTGCTGGTGGTTTTGGTGCGAGTGGTGCAGTGGAGTCCTGGACCTGGATGCATCAGATCTACTGGAGGTCTGTGACTGGTCCACACAGACCTCCATCCTGGTCATCACCATGTCCAAGAGACAGTCCACGGCTTTAGCCACATTCTGACCAGTGGCTGCGCTGGTCTCAAAGTATGGCAGCCTGTGGGGTATGATAACATTCAACAGTCTGCTTTTTTATACAGTTAAACAAAACTTTACCTTTACACTTTCGCATTGAATGTTCCCTTTAGAGTTACACTAAGCCTTTTTCCCTTTACTCAGTCACTAAACTTTCCCTTTACATAGTTGCACTTAACTTTCCCTATACACAGTGGCACTTAACTCTTTCTAGACTAAGTGCCACTTAAATGGCGTTTGAATAAATCCCGCTAGGACTAATCGCCATTAAGGAGGCTTCTGATAGAGACACACTTATATTGTTTCCTTTCCTGGGAAAACAAATTTTTGTGAACATGTTTAGAAAAACTAAGATTAGCAACAGAAATTCCTTTCATATTTGAAGTTTGGCTTGGCTATTGCATCACTTTCCTAGCTGTGTTTAAATTTTTTAGATGTAATACAATTTGTACATGATGTTTCCACCCACAGCAAATGATAAGGGGAAAAGGTCTAGAACTGTTGATACTACTCTGTCGCTGGTGAATCAGCCAGAAAGTGACAATAGTCTTGATATTGTGATTGATAACGCATGTGCTAAACCTATCGCCAATAATTTAGGTATGGGTGAAGATTGAACACAATATTTCAATCGGATCATCTGTTTCATTCAGCTGTTTTCTCGATATTTAGTTGTTGTAAAATCTGACGTATCATACAAAAAATGATCATAACTTTCAAAGTATTTAAATTAATTGTTTGAAATAAAAACTAGCTGATACACAATTGAACAGAGAAGGCAAGAAATTCTTAGAAATAGATATCAGTGTTGTTGAACAATTTCAAAAGTAAGGCAAAAACAACATTTTTCTTATAAATAATCTTAATATGTGTCTAACAACCTTGAATGTTCTGTGATTCTAATAATATTTGGTTGTAATACTGACAGTTACATAGTTTAGAGTCATTCTGCACTCATTTCTCTTATATATTATATGTCCCTTTACAGCCAATACTTTTTCTTCAGGAAGGTTTTAGCTTGGTCATGTTTCAGCAAAGAAATTCTGTTCAAATTAAAGCTGTCCAAACCCCAGAAAAAATTTGGTCCTGCAAGAGTTAACTTTCCCTTTATAGGTTGCACTTCACTTTCCCTTTACACAGTTGCACCAAACGATCCTTTTACACAGTTGTACTTAACTTTCCCTTTACACAGTTGTACTTAACTTTCCCTTTAAACAGTTGTACTTAATGTACCTTCACACAGCTGTACTTAACTTTCCCTTTACACAGATGCACTTAACTTTCCCTTCACACCATTGTATTTAACTTTCCCTTCACACAGTTGTACTTAACTTTCCCTTCACACAGTTTTAAGGGAAAGTTAAGTACAGCTGTGTGAATAAACGAACAAAGGAACGAACTTTATTTTCAAAGGGTTACAAATTAGGAATGCAGGCCTGTCTTACATACGGCCCTTCCATCTTTCACACAGCAGTTGTATCTCATCAATAAAGCATGTTATGATCATGTAATAAAATGCATATTATGAATATCAAGTCAAAAAACAAAAAGCATGGTTAGTAAAATATGTACGCACGCTCGCACACACACCCAATACACACATACATCCACACACATACGAACATGCACACACAGACATACATAAACACATATACATACATACATACACACACATACATAAATACGTATATACTACGTACATACATACGCACATACGCATGCACGTACACACACACTTAACTTTCCCTCCACACAGTTGTACTTAACTTTCTCTTCACACAGTTGCACTTAACTTTCCCTCCACACAGTTGTACTTAACTTTCCCTCCACACAGTTGTACTTAACTTTCTCTTCACACAGTTGCACTTAACTTTCCCTCCACACAGTTGTACTTAACTTTCCCTCCACACAGTTGCACTTAACTTTCCCTCCACACAGTTGTACTTAACTTTCCCTCCACACAGTTGCACTTAACTTTCCCTCCACACAGTTGCACTTAACTTTCCCTCCACACAGTTGTACTTAACTTTCTCTTCACACAGTTGCACTTAACTTTCCCTCCACACAGTTGTACTTAACTTTCCCTTTACACAGTTGCACTTAACTTTCCCTCCACACAGTTGTACTTAACTTTCCCTCCACGCAGTTGCACTTAACTTTCCATCCACACAGTTGTACTTAACTTTCTCTTCACACAGTTGCACTTAACTTTCCCTCCACACAGTTGTACTTAACTTTCCCTCCACACAGTTGCACTTAACTTTCCCTCCACACAGTTGCACTTAACTTTCTCTTCACACAGTTGCACTTAACTTTCCCTCCACACAGTTGTACTTAACTTTCTCTTCACACAGTTGCACTTAACTTTCCCTCCACACAGTTGTACTTAACTTTCTCTTCACACAGTTGCACTTAACTTTCCCTCCACACAGTTGTACTTAACTTTCCCTCCACACAGTTGCACTTAACTTTCCCTCCACACAGTTGTACTTAACTTTCTCTTTACACAGTTGCACTTAACTTTCCCTCCACACAGTTGTACTTAACTTTCTCTTCACACAGTTGCACTTAACTTTCCCTCCACACAGTTGCACTTAACTTTCTCTTCACACAGTTGCACTTAACTTTCCCTCCACACAGTTGTACTTAACTTTCTCTTCACACAGTTGCACTTAACTTTCCCTCCACACAGTTGTACTTAACTTTCCCTCCACACAGTTGCACTTAACTTTCCCTCCACACAGTTGTACTTAACTTTCTCTTCACACAGTTGCACTTAACTTTCCCTCCACACAGTTGTACTTAATTGGAGAAAGCTGGAGCTGAGAGACACAAGTGAAATAGTAGCTATCAAGGAAGAGAACTGAAAGATGTCTGAAACACATACCCACACTTCTGGGCCAGGTCTCTAGCTTTATCCTCTGATACACATCTCTTGTCTTCCAGGTCTGCCTTGTTCCCACACAGAACTACATCTGGGTTCTCACAGTAGGCATGTGTCTTTAAGCAGGCAGAGAAAAAAGCGTCTACAGTAGCAACACACCCAACAGTGATAAAGATGATTCACGAGTCTATTAAATACCATAAACCTACAGATCCGTCTACATGTAGCACAACCATAACAACAGCATGTATGATGATGATGAAGAAGATGATGAATGTGGCTGAGGTCACATGAGCAGCCCAGCCATGTCACAACTAGAAGTGATTGAGGTCACATGACCAGCCCAGCCATGTCACAACTAGGAGTGGTTAAGGTCACATGTCGGCTGTGTGGCTAAGTCAATGCGAACGCTTCACAATCCCGGGGTGCCGGGTTCGATCCCAGCTGCGGGCCATGTGCCTTGCATCGGTGAGCAATGGCAAACTACTGGACGTAAATGCCTAGAGAAACCACACAACAGACAGGGGCTGCTGGGGCTGGTTCTGCAACGTCCTGTAAAGGGTACGCTACTAACTTTTTGAGGTCACACGATCAGCCCAGCCATGTCACATCTAGGAGTGGTTGAGGTCACACGATCAGCCCAGCCATGTCACATCTAGAAGTAGTTGAGGTCACATGATCAGCCTAGCCATGTCACAACTAGGAGTGATTGTGACCAAGTTTATCTTCAGAAAACAATAAACACAACAGGGACTTTGATGAGGAGTTCTGAGAAAAGACAGGAATTCCCTCCCCAACACATGAACAATCTCAACAAGTACTGTCCTCCAACATCAAGGAACTTCAAGGCTGAGGACTCAGAACTTTGCCCATGTGGACAGGAACCATGGTATACGTAACAGGTGCTACAATGATGCTCTCTACATGCAGTAGAGAATTCCTGGTGCACTCTGGGAGAAACCAAGCTGAATCGATCAGTGGAAGACATGTATCTCCATATGAGGCTTGTAAGATGTGATTTGGGAGGGGGGGGGGGGGGGAAGGGGGGGGGGGTTTGTTCAAGGAGGTAAAAACGAGATGTACAACAACAACAAGGCAGAGGTCAAACAGCACAGAGAGTTCACTGTACAATGGGTGAGCAGCAAAGCGGCAGGCGTGGGTACGCTGAAAGTTGTAGTTGCAGACCTACATACTGGCGGCTCAGGCCGTATAGTCGTTTTGCATTGACCGGAACAGCGGCAGATTTTCGTCAGCCGCCTGAGCGATTAAGCAGCCCTCTTTAGGACATCACTGCTTACCTCTATGACATGAGAAAGGGGCTAGAAAAGGTGCCCTAAATATTGCTTGCTCAACCAATACCTAACTAGCTCACCGCGGCTGGTGGGTACCCTGCAACAGCGGTCGGAACATGAGAATATTTAAGAAAACTAAACTGTTGTCCCTAAAATTCAGAACCTGGAACATAAGCACCTCGCTCGACAGAGAAGAGGCCAATGGTCCAGAGAGATGCACTGCTCTAAGAGGGAGATAACTTAGCAGATACAACAGCCACATAGCGGCCCTAAGTGAAACCCGGCTTGCAGGCGAAGGTGAAATCTGTGAACTACGTGGCAACTACACATTCTTCTGGAGTGGCAGAAAACCTGAAGAAAAACGCCATGCTGGTGTTGGTTTTGCCATCAAGACATCTTTGGTTGGCAAGTTGGCTGGTTTTCTAAAGGCCGTAACTGACAGGCTTATGACCATCAGAATTCCTCTGTGACAGGGAAAGAAATATGCAACCAGCATAAGTGCTGATGCTGCAACAATGACCACCTCCCGGGAGGTGGTAAACAAACTCTATGATCTCTTGCAAATCTCAAGCAGACAAACTAATCCTCCTAGGTGATTGTAATGCTAGAGTTGGCACAGCCTCATGGGACGACATTATTGGCACATACTGAGTAGGCAACTGCGACAGCAATAGGCTCCTCCTCCTTCAGACATATGCCTAACAGGAACTCCTAATCACAAACACAAAATTCCGCCTCCTGACTCGAAAAAGGACATCTTGGATGTATTCCCTCTCAAAACAATGGCACCTTATTGACTATGCCATAGTCAGAAGGAAAGATAGACAAGATGTTCGGGTGATCAAATCTATGTGTGGGGCTGAATACTGGACTGACCTTCATCGCATAGTGTCCAAAATGAACATCCGCATTCAACCGCAAAGGCGCCCTCAGAGAGTGAAAATGTCTAAACAGATAAATGTCAGCCGTCTTAAAATCAATAAAGTAAAACAGTCCTTTGTGGATATTTTGGAAGACCGTCTCCAGTCATTAGGTCAGAACGTGGAAACTGTTTGGACTACTCTGAAAGACACTATCTACACAACTGCTGAGGAAATCCTGGACCAATTCACAAGACCTCACAAAAACTGGTTTGATGAGAACGCAATCCTGGGCCAAGACACAAGACCTCACAAAGGCTGGTTTGATGAGAAGGCAGAAGACATTGGAAAAACTGCTGGCAGAGAAACATCATTTAAATAATATTTATCTTGGTGACCCCAAGTCAATGGCAAAGAAAGATGCTTTCAACAACATATGAAGGGTCATAAAACGGAAGCTTCACCAAATGCGGGATTCCTGGCTGAGCAGCAAAGCTGACGAGATCCAGAACTTTGCCGATAGACATGAAAAACTTGTATGACTCTCTAAAGGCAGTCTACGGCCCAGCCCCATCAGTTTCTGCTCCCCTTATGGGTGCAGATGGCAAGACTCTTATCGAAGACCAAGAAAATAAATCCTCAAGTGCTGGGTCGAACACTTTAAATTCGTACTAAACCAGACATCATCCATAAACGATGAAGCCATTAACTGCCTGCTCCTGGTTCCTATCGATGATTCACTGGCAGATCTACCTACAACTGAGGAGGAAACCATCTAAGTTATCCATCTCCTTTCCATTGGAAAGGTGCCTGGTCCAGATGCTATTCCAGTCTTCAAAGTAGGTGGTCCAGATCTGACTGAGCAGCTACACAAGATATTTCAAAGAATGTCACAGAGTGAGACCATCCCACAGGATCTTAAGGACCATGTAATAATTCACTGTACAAATGTAAAGGAAACCGTCAGTCCTGTGATAACCACAGAGGTATCTCATTGCTTTCAGTTGCCAGAAAGATTCTTGCCAGGATTTTCCTGGGTCGTCTCATAGCTCATCTCGACAGAGGTCTCTTTCCTGAAAGTCAGTGTGGTTTTAGAAAAGACTGTAAAACTGTTGATATGATTTTAACTGCTAGACAGCTGCAAGAGAAATGTCAAGAACAGTATTCGCACATGTTTTCCACCTTTATTGATATTTTGAAAGCATTTGACACAGTAAATCAAGACGGGCTGTGGAGGATTATGGAGAAATTTGGTTGCCCACACAAGTTCATGCAGATAGTGTGTCAGTTTCATGATGGCATGCAAGCAAGAGTGCAGGATAACGGCGAACCGTCAGAGTCCTTTCCTGTCACAAACGGAGTCAACACAGGGCTGCGAGCTTGCACCGCCACTGTTCAGTCTGTTATTTTCAGCCATGCTGACTGACGCCTTTGTAAATGATCACATTGGAATCGACATAAAATACCACATGGATGGAAAGATGTTGAACCACAAGAGGCTGAAAGCAAAAATAAAAATAAAATCAGCCACCATCAGGGAGCTCCTGTTTGCCGACAACTGTGCCCTTTGTGCCAACACAGAAGCGGATATGCAGCACAACATTGACAAATTCAGTGATGCCTGAAGTAACTTTAGACTCACCATCAACAAAGATAAAACTGTAGCCATGTACCAGGAAAAAGATACATCAAGCCCAATATCACAGTGAATGGCCACTGATTAAATGTCGGCAGTGAATTTACTTATCTAGGCAGCACCCTTTCACAGAGCGCCACAATTGATGACAAAGTAAATGCAAGGATCTGTAGGGCTAGAGTTGCTTTTGGCAGATTGTACAAAAATGTTTGGAACAGACGTGGCATAACGCTGCAGACAAAGGTTAAAGTATACAGAGCAGTTGTATTAACTACACTGCTGTACGCGTGCGAAACATGGACTGTATACCAGGGCCAGGCTAGAAAGTTAAACCACTTTCACACAGTCTGCCTTAGAATACTAATGCATATCAGATGGCAAGACAAAGTACCTGATACCATAGTCCTTGAGATAGCAGACATGCCCAGCATGCACACTCTGCTAATGCAGTATCAAATTCCTTGGGCTGGTCATGAGGCTCGCATGCCAGATCACAGGCTCCCAAAAAAACTTTTCTATGGTGAGCTGCAAAATGGGAAACGTTCCCAAGGCGGGCAAAAGAAACGCTTTCAGGACACCTTGAAGTCTTCACTCCAAGCATTTGGGATGAATGACACCAATTGGGAGGCTGCCTCTCCACACCAAAATGCATGGCATGCAGCTCTACACAAGGGCGCGGCTACATGTGAAGCAAACAGAACAGCAAACAGAACAGCAAGACTGATTAGGAAAAAGATGGACAGAAAGAAATCCCCTCCCTGGCCCAACACTCATTCTCTGTCCAAGAACTTTTTGGGCCCGCATCGGCCTCATCAGTCATCTTCGTACTCATAATTAATAAAAAAGAGTGGTCACCATCATCTTGATGGACAACACACACACACATACAATATGCATGAGTCAGCAAGATTGTTTCCTGGCCACGGTCACAGCAACATCCTGCAAAAGTGCCACATGATGATGCCTACCTGCAGCTGGCTGAGCCAGTTCCTGGTGTTGAGGAATGACTCCTCATTGGTCAAGTCAAACAGGAGAAGGAAGCCCATGGCATCGCGGAAGAATGCTGTGGTCAGACTACGGAACCTGGGGACATCAGAGGACGAGAACACTTAACATTTCAACAGCCAACCATGGTTATTACAATGTAAGCAATCACATATACACTAAGCTGCCCATCTTAACTACTGCAATATTCTTCCTTTCATCCAGATATGAGTGCTTGCAATGGCTTGGCACTTTAACTGTCCTAGTAGAAAAGAATAATAGTGACTAACATATACAATATTCACAAGAGACAGGAAACAGATTTCATTGAAGAAATGTTCACTGGCTATTCTATCAGCTGATGTCATTATTGTTGACAGTCTTCTCTGCATTTACCCTTAATCTTGTCTGTTCACACCACTCTGTCACCAAAGCACTTTGTAAGTCTCTGGTCATGTTGTGCCTGTTTGACCCTCCTGGATATATTAGGACATCCTCTGCAAATGTCAAAGTTGGCCCTGGTCCAGTGGACTGAATTCTTGTCAGACTTGCTGTACGTTGAACAAGACAGGTAACAATGGTGATCCCTGAGAAAGGTCAGGCCAAATCATTATTGTTCCCCAACAAAATACTACTGTTCCTTCCAACAGTATTGCCCCCATGCAGTTGGCCAACCACGGGTTCACACCACAGTCCCTCACGCACTGCATAAGGTATATGAAGTCAACGCTGTTATATGCATCTTCAAGATCTTTCGCAACAGCAACTGTTTTTTTGTTTACTTTTTGCTATTTATGGTGTCCTGTAGCATGCCCATTCTTTCTAAGTATGACCTCAGCACTCTATGAGAACCTAAAGCCTCTGAGTGATAAACTAACCCAGAAACTTATCACAACTTTTGAATTTGTTAGGAAATTGAACAAACTTTAAAGTGTTACTCTCAAATTTGGATATTCACTGCTCTTGTGGCTGTAAAACCACGGTTAAGTAAAAATATTTTTGTAAAACTGCGTCTTTTGTAAACATAACACCTGCTGAATTATATTTGTCTACTAACTATAACAGCTTTAAAAAAAACATACTATCAAGTTCAAAATGTATATCCATTCCTCTCTAAAAAAAATAGATATTTATTTGTAGGGATTAGAAATGTATTACACTGTCAACTGATATTTTGTTTGTCTTTTTCTGACTATCCCATCTGCCATTTCTGCGCAGGGACATTAATGTGAGCCAAGTCTGTCAAAATTCAAGGGGCCTGAAAGAATTCAATAGGAACATTCTACATCAGAGGGTGAGGAAACTGGGAAAGGTTTAGACAGCTGTGTAAGACATGTAGAAACTGTGCAACTGTCAAGTAATAGAGGCAATGAGCAAGACTTGTAGAAACTGTGCAACTGTCTAGTAACAGAGCAATGAGCAAGACATGTAGAAACTGTGCAACTGTCTAGTTACAAAGGCAATGAGCAAGACATGTAGAAACTGTGCAACTGTCTAGTAATAGAGGCAATGAGCAAGACATGTAGAAACTGTGCTACTGTCTAGTAACAGAGGCAATGAGCAAGTCATGTAGAAACTGTGCAACTGTCTAGTAATAGAGGCAATGAGCAAGACATGTAGAAACTGTGCAACTGTCTAGTAATAGAGGCAATGAGCAAGACATGTAGAAACTGTGCAACTGTCTAGTAATAGAGGCAATGAGCAAGACATGTAGAAACTGTGCAACTGTCTAGTAATAGAGGCAATGAGCAAGACATGTAGAAACTGTGCAACTGTCTAGTAACAAAGGCAATGAGCAAGACATGTAGAAACTGTGCAACTGTCTAGTAATAGAGACAATGAGCAAGACATGCAGAAACTGTGCAACTGTCTAGTAACAGAGGCAATGAGCAAGACATGTATAAACTGGGCAACTGTCTAGTAACAAAGGCAATGGGCAAGACATGTAGAAACTGGGCAACTGTCTAGTAACAAAGGCAATGAGCAAGACATGTAGAAACTGTGCAACTGTCTAGTAACAAAGGCAATGAGCAAGACATGTAGAAACTGTGCAACTGTCTAGTAATAGAGACAATGAGCAAGACATGTAGAAACTGTGCAACTGTCTAGTAATAGAGACAATGAGCAAGACATGTAGAAACTGTGCAACTGTCTAGTAACAAAGGCAATGGGCAAGACATGTAGAAACTGTGCAACTGCCTAGTAACAGAGGCAATGAGCAAGACATGTAGAAACTGTACAACTGTCTAGTAACAGAGGCAATGAGCAAGACATGTAGAAACTGCAACTGTCTAGTAATAGAGGCAATGAGCAAGACATGTAGAAACTGTGCAACTGTCTAGTAATAGAGGCAATGGGCAAGACATGTAGAAACTGTGCTACTGTCTAGTAACAAAGAACAGTTTGTGGTGTGGTACCTCTCCTGGCCAGCTGTGTCCCATAGCTGAAGGTGGACTCTGTGACTGCGACCCACTGATCCATCTATGCCAGGTGAGCGGTGAACCTTCAATGACAATAACAGTCTCACTGTAACCATGTACATACCAGAGTAGACAGACATCAGATGACAGATATGACTGAGTGTACACATACTTGCATCTTGGCAGATATAAGACGTCACATAACAGTGACAGATATGACTGGGTGTACACATACTTGCATCTTGGCAAACATAAGACGTCACATACCAGTGACAGATATGACTGAGTGTACACATACTTGCATCTTGGCAGATATAAGACGTCACATACCACTGACAGATATGACTGAGTGTACACATACTTGAATCTTGGCAGATATAAGACGTCACATACCACTGACAGATATGACTGAGTGTACACATACTTGCATCTTGGCAGATATAAGATGTCACATACCACTGACAGATATGACTAAGTGTACACATACTTGCACCTTGGCAGATATAAGACGTCACATACCACTGACAGATATGACTAAGTGTACACATACTTGCATCTTGGCAGATATAAGACGTCACATACCACTGACAGATATGACAGAGTGTACACATACTTGCACCTTGGCAGATATAAGATGTCACATACCACTGACAGATATGACAGAGTGTACACATACTTGCACCTTGGCAGATATAAGATGTCACATACCACTGACAGATATGACTAAGTGTACACATACTTGCATCTAGGCAGATATAAGACGTCACATACCACTGACAGATATGAATGAGTGTGCACATACTTGCATCTTGACAGATATAAGATGTCACACACCACTGACAGATATGACTGAGTGTACACATACTTTCATCTTGGCAAATATAAGACGCCACATACCACTGACAGATATAACTGAGTGTGCACATACTTGCATCTTGGCAGATATGAGACGTCACATACCACTGACAGATATGACTGAGTGTACACATACTTGCACCTTGGCAGATATAAGATGTCACATACCACTGACAGATATGACTGAGTGTACACATACTTGCATCTTGGCAGATATAAGACACCACATACCACTGACAGATATGACTGAGTGTGCCAGAAATAACTTCTCCAGTTGTGAAATTGTTTAATGTTATTAAAGCTAGAAGTTCTTCACGAAAATATTTTTCATGGAAAAAAAACGCACACATAAACATAACCAAGCCACGTCTATGATGTCTATAGATTCTTTAATGACAACTGACAAAAATTCTGTCTGCTTTCTGCTTTAAATTAAAGATTCAAAAACTGCAGTCCTAAAATTTTGATTCTACATATCGTCGAAGCATCCGTTATAGGGATTTGCTGAACTGCATGTGCCACGCTTGTTTTAATTTCATCATCAACTGCTATTTCGTCCAGAATTGCTACTATGCATTCTTTCACGATTTAGAATCAGTGTAAGGCCATTTCTTTTTGACTAATATCTGCGAAACATGCAAAGAAGCCGCTGTAGCTTTTTCTTGTTGAGAACAAGCTCGCACAAGAATTCTGCTGCTATGCTAATAAGTAGCAATCAACGACTCAACCTTTGATTTCCTAGCAGTGAAACCTTCTGGATATGATTTTCCAAAATCAGCATGTTTCGTTGTAAAGTGCAGCTTCACGTTGTACTCCTTTATTGCCGACAAACATTCGTTGCATAGCAAGCACATTGATTTCGAAATAGGCATAGTTGGTGATATAAATAAATATTTCAGTGTCCAGTCATTGTTGAACGTACAGTTTTCACACTCCCACTTAGCTTTCTTAGTAGTACCAGCTATATCATCAAGTATTTCACTTAATTATCAAAATTCAGAAAACTTAAAACACTGTTACTGTTTCAGTTTGTTACTATACAATCGCGTCCAGTAATCTACGACTAGACGCTTACGAAAAATCTGATTATAATCTGACAACAACATCATCAGCAGGTGTTCTATGGTACCACTAATGTTCTGCAGCATCCACTGACATTAGTCTTTGTGTACTATTTGTCAACTTTTAGGGGGAGTTCCTCTGTAATCTAAGCCCAAATTATCTGGTCCGGGCTTGTATTTCTATATGCCTCCTGTGAAATAAATATCTCACCTTCATTGATTCAGTGGAGCCACTGCTTTCTACCGTCGTTAACTGATTCTTTCGAGCCTTTCTTATTACCTTTGGCTCCAAATAGTCGAGTTCTGCTATTTGAAGTAACATTTACCATGAACTATTTACATTTCCATGCCTGAGACATTCCCGTAGTTGTGGTATTGTCTGTTCATACGCCCGTTCCCCTGTATCTCCGAATTTAGAGATCCCTGACGAACATTTCCTATTGTCACATTTGACACAACTGCTTTTTGAAGATTTATACAGAAACATTGATGGATTTCATTTTTTTAAATTTTTTATATACTACACTTCAGTGGCAATGATCGGCGGGCCACTTGCTAGGCCTCCACTGGCCAGATCTAACCCGGGGGCCGCCAGTTGAATAGATTGTTCTGAGATATTTGTTCTCTAAACTAATTTTTATCTAGAGCTACTACTGCTTTCCAACTCTCGCATCCATTAGTACTGGAATCATACAAGAGTTGAAGATCTTAAGTTTTGTGTAATTGCCGAGTGTCTTTGACTTCCAGAAGTTTGACAGTGGTACACAGAGTAGACAAGCATAAAACTACATACTGCATACAGTAGGCATATATGAAACATTACATTATAATGAGTGCAGTCGGACAAAAAAACACATTATATACCACTAACTGTTGACAGTCATAAGACATCACATACCACTGTAGACAAACGTATAACATTATGTGCCACTAACTGTAGACAGACATAGGACAGCACATACCCCTGTAGACAAACATATAACATTATGTGCCACTAACTGTAGACAGACATACAACATTACATACCACTAACTGTAGACAAACATATAACATTATCTACCACTAACTATAGACAGACATATAACATTACATACCACTAACTGTAGACAGACATATAACATTATCTACCACTAACTGTAGACAGACATATAACATTACATACCACTAACTGTAGACAGACATATAACATTACATACCAGTAACTGTAGACAGACATATAACATTATATACCACTAACTGTAGACAGACATATAACATTATATACCACTGACTGTAGACAGACTTATAACATTATATACCATAACTGTAGACAGACATATAACATTACATACCACTAACTGTAGACAGACATATAACATTATTTACCATTAACTGTAGACAGACTTAAAACATTATATACCATAACTGTAGACAGACATATAACATTACATACCACTAACTGTAGACAGACATATAACATTATTTACCATTAACTGTAGACAGACATATAACATTATGTACCACTGACTGTAGACAGACATATAACATTATGTACCACTGACAGTAGAGAGACATATAACATTATGTACCACTGACTGTAGACAGACATATAACTTTATATACTGCTGATTGCAGACAGACATATAATATTATATACCAGTAACTGTAGACAGACATATAACATTACATACCACTAACTGTAGACAGACATATAACATTATATACCAGTAACTGTAGACATACATATAACATTATGTACCAGTAACTGTAGACAGACATATAACATTACATACCACTAACTGTAGACAGACATATAACATTATATACCAGTAACTGTAGACAGACATATAACATTATATACAACTAACTGTAGACAGACATAACATTATATACCATTAACTGTAGACAGACATATAACATTATGTACCACTGACTGTAGACAGACCTGTAACATTATGTACCACTGACAGTAGAGAGACATATAACATTATGTACCACTGACTGTAGACAGACATAAAACATTATATACCACTAACTGTAGACAGACATATAACATTATATACCACTGACAGTAGAGAGACATATAACATTATGGATTACTGACTGTAGACAGACATATAACATTATATACCACTAACTGTAGACAGACATATAACATTATATACTGCTGACTGTATAGAGACATATAACATTATGTACCACTGACTGTAGAGAGACATATAACATTATGTACCACTGACTGTAGACAGACATATAACACTATATACCACTAACTATAGACAGACATATAACATTATATACTGCTGACTGTATAGAGACATATAACATTATGTACCACTGACTGTAGACAGACATATAACACTATATACCACTAACTATAGACAGACATATAACATTATGTACCACTAACTGTAGACAGTCACAAAACATTATATACAGCTGTCTGTGGAGGGACATAAAATATTATTTACAACTGACAGTAGACACAAAACATGAATACCACTGACTGTTGACAGACATAAGACAGCACATACCACTGTAGACAAACATAAGACACCACATACCACTGAGTGTAGGCAGACATAAGACAGTATATACCACTGATTGCAGACAGACATAAGACAGCACATACCACTGAGTGTAGGCAGACATAAGACAGTATATACCACTGACTGCAGACAGACATAAGGCAGCACATACCACTGAGTGCATGCAGACATAAGACAAAACATACCACTGAGTGCAGACAAATATAAAACAGCACACACCACTGAGTGCATGCAGACATAAGACAGCACATACCACTGAGTGCATACATAGGACAGGACATACCACTGACTGCACACACACATAAGACAGCACAAACCACTGATTGAAGGCAGACATAAGATAGAAACATACCACTAAGTGCAGACAGACATAAGACAGAAACATACCACTGAGTGCAGACATAGGACAGGACATACCACTGACTGCACACACACATAAGACAGCACAAACCACTGATTGAAGACAGACATAAGATAGAAACATACCACTAAGTGCAGACAGACATAAAACAGAAACATACCACTGAGTGCAGACATAGGACAGGAGATACCACTGACTGCAGACAGATATAAGACAAACCACTGAGTACAGACATAAGACAGAAACATATCACTGAGTGCAGGTAGAGATAAGACAAAAACATACCACTAAGTGCAGACAGACATAAGACAGCACATACCACTGAGTGCAGACAGACATAGGACAGGACATACCACTGAGTGTGGATAGACATAAGACAGAAACATACTACTGCATGCAGACAGACATAAGACAGAAACATACCACTAAGTGCAGACAGACATAAGACAGCATATACCACTGAGTGTGGATAGAAATAACACAGCAAATACTACTGTGTGCAGACAGACATAGGACAGGACATACCACTGCGTGCAGACAGACATAGGAGAGCACATACCACTGGGTGCAGACAGACATAGGAGAGCACATACCACTGAGTGCAGACAGACATAGGACAGGACATACCACTCGTTTCTCCCGGAAATCAATGCCTACAGTTGAGATAAACTTGCCATTGAAGACACTGTCAGTGTACTGATACAAGAAGCTGGTCTTGCCCACGCCAGAGTCACCTGCAAAAACACATCTCTCTGATTGTACAGAGTAAACAAACTACCATGCCACAGTCATATATGGCTATGTGATCACCTACAGTTAACTGACAGTAACACACATATATGTAAACCACAGTCAACTCACAGTCACACATATCTATGTGATCTACTTACAGTCAACTGACCGTCACACATATCTATGTGATCTACACATAGTCAACTCACACTCACACACATCTATGTGTTCTACTTACAGTCAACTCACCGTTACATAATTTTTTTGCTGGGTCAACCTGGTGGGGGGAGATAATCCTTTCTATGGTCAGGATGGAACTTGGACCACTGCCTCAATTTGCGATGAGGTAGCCTTATCCAGAGCTTAAAAACTTGATAAGACAGACTTATCCAGAGCTGAAAATTGGATGAGGCATGCTTACCCAGAGCTTAAAAACTTGATAAGACAGACTTATCCAGAGCTAAATACTTAATAAAACACTTATCAAGAGCTAAAAACTTGATGAGGTAGGCTTACCCAGAGCTAAAAACTTGATGAGGTAGGCTAACCCGGAGCTAAAAGCTTGATGAGGTAGGCTTACCCAGAGCTAAAAGCTTGATGAGGTAGGCTTATCCAGAGCTAAAAACTTGATGAGGTAGGCTTAGAGCTAAAAACTTGATGAGGTAGGCTTACCCAGAGCTAAAAACTTTATTAGGTAGGCTTACCCAGAGCTAAAAACTTGATGAGGTAGGCTTACCCAGAGCTAAAAACTTGATGAGGTAGGCTAACCCAGAGCTAAAAACTTGATGAGGTAGGTTTATCCAGAGCTAAAAACTTGATGAGGTAGGCTTAGAGCTAAAAACTTGATGAGGTAGGCTTACCCAGAGCTAAAAACTTGATGAGGTAGGCTAACTCAAAACTAAAAACTTGATGAGGTAGGCTTAGAGCTAAAAACTTGATGTGGTAGGCTTACCCAGAGCTAAAAACTTGATGAGGTAGGCTTACCCAGAGCTAAAAACTTGATGAGGTAGGCTTACCCAGAGCTAAAAACTTGATGAGGTAATCATAGTCAGCTCCTCCATTGCTGCTGCCCACACCTGGCATTGGGGAGTTGGCACGGTCTCCAAGTTCTGACATAGACAGAGCTGAAAGACAAATGACATTTGCGGCCAGTGAGACAGTGAAGTAATAAAGCAAAACTGTGTAAGAAACCAGAGCAACATCAGAGACATCACTGACACAAGGACACATGACATCAGAAACATTACTGACAGAAGAACACAGGACATCAGGGACATCACTGACAGAAGAACACAGGACATCAGAGACATCACTGACAGAAGAACACAGGACATCAGAGACATCACTGACACAAGGACACAGGACATGACATCAGAGATATCATTGACAGATAAACATATAACATCAAAGACATCACTAGAGACCTGACATCAGAGACATCACTGACAGACATCAGAGACATCACTGACAGACATGACATCAGAGACATCACTGACAGACATAATATCAGCGACATTACTGACAGACATGACATCAGAGACATTACTGACAGACATGACATCAGAGACATCACTGACAGACATGATATCATAGACATCACTGACAGACATGACATCAGAGACATCACTGGCAGACATGACATCAGAGACATCACTGACAGACATGACATCAGAGACATCACTGACAGACATGACATCAGAGACATCACTGACAGACATGACATCAGAGACATTACTGACATATATGACATCAGAGACATTACTGACACACATGACATCAGAGACATCACTGACAGACATGATATCAGAGACATTACTGACAGACATGATATCAGAGACATCACTGACAGACATGACATCAGAGACATCACTGACAGACATGATATCAGAGACATCACTGACAGACATGACATCAGAGACATCCCTGACAGACATGACATCAGAGACATTACTGACAGACATGATATCAGAGACATCACTGACAGACATGATATCAGAGACATCACTGACAGACATGACATCAGAGACATCACTGATAGACATGACATCAGAGACATCACTGACAGACATGACATCAGAGACATCACTGACAGACATGATATCAGCGACATTACTGACAGACATGACATCAGAGACATTCCTGACAGACACGACATCAGAGACATCACTGACAGACATGACATCAGAGACATCACTGACAGAAGAACACATGACAAAGCAGACAACACTGGCAGAAGAAAACTTTTCATCAGAAATATCAGACAGACATGACATTAGAGACATCGCTGACAATTGTTATTAAAAACATCACTGACAAACACATCATATCAGAGACATCACTGGCAAGAGAACGCATGACATTAGCAGATACCAGACAATCAGAGGTGATGGAAACAAGACAGAAATAAATACAAAATTTGGATTCTGACATCATAGAGTAATAAACACATCGATTTTGACAACATACAGTAACAAGCACACGTATTTAGACATCACAGTGTAACAAACATACATATTTAGACATTATAACATATTTAGTCATCGTCAGAGGCCAGTTCAGCTACGGAATTACTAGGTGTGATGATGGTGAATCATCAGGTAAGAACGAGTTGACCCTCAGTCAAACTCAAAGCAACATCAGGCAGTCTGACCACATAATAAACTGTGTCAAGTGAACTGGGCTTAGCCCCAGGCCCCACTAGTAACATGAGTTACAGCGTGTCAGAGATGAACGCTGGAGAGGAACAAAAGGTTTTGACAGAGCTTGCTCGGAGAGTTGTGTAGTAGGACATTGGACTGGACAGATGTGGGACTGCCATGGTTAATGTATCTTAGATTAGTGATGATTATTAAGAATAGTTTTTGTGGTTTGACTTTAGATAGGTTGTGTTTCCATACAGTGTTATGATGAGATTATGCAGCATTATTGTTTCTTGTAAAGTAGACGTATATGTTAAGCAGGTAGTTAATGTTGACACGCATAGCTGGTGGCGTTAACACTGCTCACTCATACTTAGATCATTCACCTTAGGTGTGTCACTGGGTCCCGCGTGGCCAGGACAGCAGCTTAGTTAGCGCTGTACGACAGTGAGGTGGAGTCGAGTCCTTGGTATATCCATGGGAACGGGCTCGGGTTGGTTTAGTGAATACAAAAGCTACCAAACACTAACGTTATGGATAATGGTGGCCACCTTTGTTGAGGCTTGCAATAAGCTGAATTGTTCTTTTTACATTAAAGATTATGTGTGTACTCAGTAGGTGTGTGTTTTAAGTGTGTCCTAGGGTAGTTAAGTATGTTAGCTGGCCTACCTAACGAGCAATAGGAAGTAGATAATCAAGTAAGTCCCTGACAGACGTCACAGAGTAACAAGCACATACATTTAGACATCAAAGAGTAACAAACACACAGATTTTGATGTCTCAGAGTGGATCTACAGAGTGGAGACAATACAACCTCACCTAAGTTAATAAAACCTCACAAAAGACTACACAACCTCACACAACACAATACAACCTCATGCAACGCAATGCAACCTAACACAAGACAGTATAAGCTCATACAAAACAACACAACCTCGATAAGACAATACAACCTCACACAACACAATACAACCTCATGCAACGCAATACAACCTAACACAAGACAGTATAAGCTCATACAAAACAACACAACCTCGATAAGACAATACAACCTCACACAAGACAACCTCACTCTAGACAATACAGCCTCATACTAGACACTACAACTGCACACAAGATGACCTCACACAAAACAAAACCTCAAACAATATAAAACCTCACACTAGACAACCTCATTTTTAGATGATGTCACACAATACTAGCTCACACCAAAAACAAAATAAAATACTGGTGACAGAGTATTAGAGATAGATGTAACTACGTGAACTGTATTCGTTATGTACTCTCAGGTAGAGAACCCAGTTAGTCGTAAGAAGATAGGCTTGGGAATGTTTGCATATATACAGGTGAAGAGTTAATTATTCACCTTTACACACTTTGCCAAATATGCTGTCCATTCACCAAACAGCATACAACACTAACACAATACAACCTCACATCAGACAATACAACCATACAAAAGACAAAACAACCTCACACTAGACAACCTTACACAAGAAAGAACAACTTTTGATGAAAAAACCTTAGCGATTTCAAAATTTAGTATGTTTAATAATAATTTCTTTGTTTAATCAAGGAAAATAAGAATTATATTTACTATTCCCCAAGCCCCAAATACCAAAACCATGTGAGATTACAAACTGTTTCCAGTTCTCAGACCAGACAAAGAAACTAAGAATTATATTTACTATTCCCCAAGCCCCAAATACCAAAACCATGTGAGATTACAAACTGTTTCCAGTTCTCAGACCTGACAAAGGAACTAAGAATTATATTTACTACTATTCCCCAAGCCCCAAATACCAAAACCATGTGAGATTACAAACTGTTTCCAGTTCTCAGACCAGACAAAGAAACTAAGAATTATATTTACTATTTCCCAAGCCCCAAATACCAAAACCATGTGAGATTACAAACTGTTTCCAGTTCTCAGAGCAGACAAAGAAACTAAGAATTATATTTACTATTCCCCAAGCCCCAAATACCAAAACCCATGTGAGATTACAAACTGTTTCCAGTTCTCAGACCTGACAAAGGAACTAAGAATTATATTTACTATTCCCCAAGCCCCAAATACCAAAACCATGTGAGATTACAAACTGTTTCCAGTTCTCAGACCTGACAAAGGAACTAAGAATTATATTTACTATTCCCCAAGCCCCAAATACCAAAACCATGTGAGATTACAAACTGTTTCCAGTTCTCAGACCTGACAAAGGAACTAAGAATTATATTTACTATTCCCCAAGCCCCAAATACCAAAACCATGTGAGATTACAAACTGTTTCCAGTTCTCAGAGCAGACAAAGAAACTAAGAATTATATTTACTATTCCCCAAATACCAAAACCATGTGAGATTACAAACTGTTTCCAGTTCTCAGACCAGACAAAGAAACTAAGAATTATATTTACTACTATTCCCCAAGCCCCAAATACCAAAACCATGTGAGATTACAAACTGTTTCCAGTTCTCAGACCAGACAAAGAAACTAAGAATTATATTTACTATTTCCCAAGCCCCAAATACCAAAACCATGTGAGATTACAAACTGTTTCCAGTTCTCAGAGCAGACAAAGAAACTAAGAATTATATTTACTATTCCCCAAGCCCCAAATACCAAAACCATGTGAGATTACAAACTGTTTCCAGTTCTCAGACCTGACAAAGGAACTAAGAATTATATTTACTATTCCCCAAGCCCCAAATACCAAAACCATGTGAGATTACAAACTGTTTCCAGTTCTCAGACCTGACAAAGGAACTAAGAATTATATTTACTATTCCCCAAGCCCCAAATACCAAAACCATGTGAGATTACAAACTGTTTCCAGTTCTCAGACCTGACAAAGGAACTAAGAATTATATTTACTATTCCCCAAGCCCCAAATACCAAAACCATGTGAGATTACAAACTGTTTCCAGTTCTCAGAGCAGACAAAGAAACTAGTCCTGGCCTAGAATTACATAACATTACCAGCCAGTCCACCTGAGGAAACTGAGGTGTCAGAAATATGACACAATGGGACAAGCCTTCTGAAACTGTAACCTGGGCAAGGGGGAAGTCCAGACATGATGGCTCCACTTGAGTGGTTTCTCAGCCTTTGACTGACAATGGGTAGAAATAGACAGGACCCACATTAGAAAGTTTGATCAGTAGGTGAGCAGTCATTTATTGATTGACAGCCACAAAGAAAACCAACTGTAGCCTGAAGGTACCTCGGGGGCGGGGCTTAAAGCCTTTCCTATATATACTAGTAATGAGAATGAGTTGGAAAGCTCTTTACAAAAAGAAGTAGACAATCTTTGTAAATGGAGCCATAGCAATTGCCTACAAATTAACATAAATAAAACTAAATCTAAGCTTATAACAACCAGACAAGAGTTGCAAACATAAGTACTGATTGCACAAGCCAACACTTGAGCTCTATAGTGATAAATTACCTATTGTTGATGTAACGGAACACAAAACTTTAGG